CAGGTGGTCTTCAGAGGCAGTCCCATATAGAGCACACTGCAGAAGTCTAGGTGAGTGATAATGAGCCTGTGGGCAAAGGATCTCCTAGCCACCACCTCCACCTGCTCAAATAGAAGCCATTTCAAAACCAGAAGGCCTGATCCTTCACCGAAGTGATGCTGGGGCTCACACAGATTCCGTAGCTCAGAATTCTCTTTGGAAATAACGACAGTCGCCATTACAGATGGTCCTCGACTTACGACCGCAATTGAGCCCAAAATTAATGTTGCTAAGTGAGAAATTTGTTAAGTGACTTTTGTCCCAGTTTACAATCGTTCTTGTCATCGTTGTGAAATGAATTACTGCAGTTGTTAAGATAGTAACACGGTTGTTAAGTGAATCTGGCTTCCCCATTGATTTTGCTTGTCAAAAGGTTGCAAAAGGTTATTTATCACATGACCTTGGGACATTGCAACCGTCATAAATATGAACCAGTTGTCAAGCATCTGAATGTAAATCACATGAGCATGGGGATGCTACAGTGGTCATAAGTATGAAAACTGGTCTTCGGTCACTTTTTTCACTGCTGTTGTAACTTTGAATGGTCACTAAATCAACTGTTGTAAGTCGAGGACTACCTGTAGTGTGATTCGAGCATCCTGCGGTCTGATGCATGTCATTTCTTTGGCAAGAAATACTTACCTGTGAGAAAAAAGTGATCTATGGTCCATCTGCCTGGACTATAGCTGTTTGGTCTAGAAAACACGTTACATAAAGGAAGCAGTTAGATGTAGTACTTAAGGCGTTGACCTATAAACCAGGAGACTCTGAGTTTTAGACCTTCCTTAGGAATGAAAGCCCGGTGGGTGACTTTGGACCAATCATCAGGAGACTCTGAGTTCTAGTCCCACCTTCGGCATGAAGGCTAACTAGGTGACTTTGGACCAATCACCAGGAGACTCTGAGTTCTAGTCCCACCTCAGGCATGAAGGCTAACTGGGTAACTTTGGACCAATCACCAGGAGACTCTGAGTTCTAGTCCCACCTCAGGCATGAAGGCTAACTGGGTGACTTTGGACCAATCACCAGGAGATTCTGAGTTCTAGTCCCACCTTAGGCATGAAGGTTAACTGGGTGACTTTGGACCAATCACCAGGAGACTCTGAGTTCTAGTCCCACCTTAGGCATGAAGGTTAACTGGGTGACTTTAGACCAATCACCAGGAGACTCTGAGTTCTAGTCCCACCTTAGGCATGAAGGCTAACTGGGTGACTTTGGACCAATCACCAGAAGACTGTAAGTTTTAGTCCCACCTTAGGCATGAAGGCTAACTGGGTGACTTTGGACCAATCACCAGGAGACTCTGAGTTCTAGTCCC